TCGGGGGCACTGACCTCTTTTCCGTAGGATTGTCAAATTTAAAAATGACAACATCCAACACAACAATAGCCATCTGATGTGAATGAATCAAAACTACACCTATTTTTTTTTTGTCAGACTGGCAAAAATATATTTTTTGGTGTGCAGCAGAATTTTAGTAATTAGTTTATGTGTGCCATAAGACATAAAATGTTGAAAATCACTGCTATAAAGTAAAATAGGAGTATTATAAGAGAAGCCCTTAAGGAACATAAAATGTAATAGAAAGTATAAGATGAGGTAGAAAGTGATTCCGTAAGAGATAGAAGAAAGTGCTACAAAATTTCAGAGAAATTGTTAGGTAGAAATGGGGAGCGGGAGGATGGAAGTGGGACTCAGGCTAGGCTTCATGGAAGAGCCATAGAGGAGGGGCAGAATGTGGACAAATGAAGGGAAATGTTCCATGCAAAAAAAACCCCAAACACACAAAACAAAATAAAACAAAAAAATCAGATGAGCAAAGTCAGAAGCAAGACTGCATGAGGCTGAGAGGTTGGTTATGTTAAGGTAACAGGCAGTTTTGCCACCTGATTTTTAAAGTAAAATTGATAAAGGGGAAGAGTGAAAAGCACAAGTGGCAGTAGTTCAAGATCAGGAGGGCCTCAAATGCCTCCATTTCTGCTCCTGATCAACACCGAAGAGACAAAAGAAAGACAGGGTCAGGCCGACCCGTTCATTATATTCCACCTTTCCAATTTCATTCTGGCTTCTCTATCACTCACTTTTTTGACCAAAGTATGTAATTTCTAGGTAACTATGATTCTTAAAGTGGTTATTCTAGAAATTCTTCTCTCTGCAACAGTTCTAGAAATTCTAACCTGCCCATTTTATCCATGAACAAACATTCTCCTCTTTTGAAAATTAATGAGACCATGAAAATTAAGGCCTTTGTACCTGACTTTCACTAGAGTGGCTGTAAATACTATTTGTCCACTCCTCTCTCTAGTCTTAAGACGACAACAAAAACGTCTCCCTTTAGGGACGCCTCCCACCTAAACTTGTAGAACTAATCTCTCATCACTTCCTCTGGAAGCTGATTCCTATGGTTTCCTTTATCGCAGGGTTTGCAAACTCCAGTGTGAGAAGCAGGTCATAGACAATGGATATGAAATGGTTTATATTGCAGATCAATCATAACACCCATCTCATACTGTCTTTCAAAACATTCTCAGACAAAATGAAACTTTTCCATGAACCATATACAGCCTGCTGGCCTGCCACTTTGCAACTTTTATTACATTGCATCTTCAGACGCTGCCTTTATTGTGTTTACCTGTCTGTCTTCCCCATTAGACCTAGAGTTTTGAGAGCAGGAGCGATGTTCATTGGGGAAGACATATAAACGATTTATTAAAATATGTTCAATATTATAATACAGTTATACACACAGTGCTATGGGAAGGAAGGAGTTATCTAGGACAGCTTCTCTGAAGATTGACATGAAGCTTAATTTGAATAGATATTTAGGAGCTTGCTGGGCAAGTTAGAAAAGGACATTCCAGCTCAAAGAAATAGAATATGCTTGATTTAAAAGTATTAAAGAATAGGATGTTAAGGAATTTCTAAGAGCTGCTTTATAGCCAGATGGCAGGCACATGTACTATGCAGCTGGAGATGAAATTAGAAAGGATGCAGGGATAAGGTCACAAAGGCCAAGAGGGAGCCGTCTGAAAGTTTTAAGAGGGAAACATGATCTCTGGTCACAGTGTAGAACATGCAGGAGCCCAATGAGAGAACAAAGACTGGAAGACTACCCACTAGGCAGGGCAGTTATTGGTGTGGGAAATGATGACTCTGAACTAAGGGGGCTGTGGTGTAGGTTACTAGGGGAGAGAGTTAAGAGTTACTTAGAGAAAACAGTCATAGAAGTTGGTAATTGGATGTGGTAGAATCTGTAGTATTTCACTGGTTTCTAGCATAGGCCATTGGATTGTTTATGGTGCCAAGATCAGAAATATAGGCTGGCTCCTGCTCACATTCAAATAAGTTCAAGATTCCTTTATCACACAAAACTCCATGGTTTAACCCCACCCATCTAAATCTACCCTGCAGTACAATACAGGTCCTCACTGACTCACACACAAGTCTCCTGGGTAGCCCCCGAACAAATCTCTCTCCATCGTAATCCAGCATTTCTCAAAGTGTGCTCCTCGGCCTACCTTAACAGAACTGCCTGTGGTGCTTGGTACGAAATGCAGTTCTTGTACCCCATAAAGGACAAAAACTGCAGTTTGTTACATTTTCAAGTTTGAGAACCATTTGCCTAATCCAGCCTACCTACTATCAAATTTATTTTTCT